AATTTCCTAATGTTGTAAACCTGCTCAACATTTGGCAATAAAACCCTTTCTGATTCTGATTCTGATTGCCTGGACCTGGTGAACCTGGTTTGTCTGGACCCAGTAAACCTGGTCTATCTTGACCTCCTGATCCTGATTTATCTGGGCCTCATGAACCTGATTTGTGTGGACCTGGTTAACCTGGTTTATCTGGACCTCATGAATAATGAATGAATGAATGAATACATTTTATTTAAGAAAGCGCCTTTCAAAACACTCAAGGACACTGTACACAAGCAATAACAACAACAAACATAACAATTTACAAAATAATAAGGATAAAACGTTGAGCAAATAGATCAAATAAATTAAAGTAGCAGGATGGAAAGATTTATGTGGAATAGGCTAATGTGAATAGGTGAGTTTTGAGTCTGGACTTATATAGAGGGATGGAAGTGATGTTCCAAAGTCGGGGGCAGAGCAACAGAAAGCCCTGCGCCCCACGGTGGCTAGTCGGGGGGAAGGGATGGAAGAGAAAGAGAGGAGGAGGATCTGAGATACGGAGAAGGAATGGTGATTTGAACCAGGTCAGAGAGGTATGAAGGTGAGAGATGATGGGTAGCCTTGAATGTGTACAAAAGTATCTTGAAATCGATGCAGTATTTAACCGGACGCCAGTGAACCTGGTTTATGTGGACCTGGTTAACCGGGTCTATCTGGACCACTTCACTTCACTCTTATCTCCTAACAGACCTCCTGACATTGTGGAGGTCCTTCTTCTGTTGCAGACGAACCAGGTGTGACCTTAGCTCTGTGAATAAAGCGGGAGGAGCTAAATTCACTGTCTGCTCTTCAGGTGGTGGAACAGCCAATCAGAACAAAGAATTATTGAACTAAACTTCTGTCAGGCTGGTTTGTGATGTTTTTATGTCTAGTTCTTATAGAGATTTTGCTCTTCAGCCTAACTCTGCTGAGCTCAGGTTCAGCTCTGTCACAGGTTACTGAACCAACCCCATCTGACAACTTCAAAATCAGCGACCTAAGCTAATCATATAGGGTGTCACCTAGTTTAGCTAGTAAGAGTCCAACACCAGTTTGGGCCAGACTCTTTTACTTAGCTGAACATCAGCAAGCTGAAACGAAGCCATCAGTCATTGTGAGACAGCACAGTGGCATTCTAGGAACGTGTAACAGGATAGTTTGAGAGCCAGCTGACAGCTGGGCTCTGCTCTGATTGGCTGGCAACAGAGAACCCATAGACCCTCGGTTGGTGAGCTGCTGGTTCCAGGAATCCTTTCAGGTCCTCCTGGTCTGATCCAGACTGAGCTGACCTGGCCACTCAGCTGCTGGACTGTGGTGGTCTGCACACACTAAAGCAGAGCAAACATTTTACTACACAGAGATCCAACAGGTAAACTCTGCACACCTGGGAAAGTGTGACCAACCTGCTGCTGTTAGGACCATAGGATGAAGGCCAAAGAGAAGAAGAGAAACAGGAAAAGGAACTGAAAGAAGAAGAAAGCAGTGCAGAATCTGTCGATGTCAGAGGAAGCAGTTTTTTACACACATGTTTCTGTTCGATTTGTCTTTACCTTCTCTTCCAGCTCTTTAATCTGTCGTTTCTGTGCTTCTATAAATTCTTCCAGCTCCTTGTTCCTCTGACAAACACAACATCATTGATTACAGACTACAAAGGAGAAATCACAATAGTGTACCTGTGCTCATTTCAGTGGTTTACCTGTTGGGTGAGCTGCAGTAGTTCCATCCGCTCTCGAAGGATTTGGGCATCTCTCTCTCTGAGCTCACACATCACAGTTCGTTTCCACTGGTCCATGGCTCTCCTCAGCTCCTCTCGCTCTCCCTCTGTCAGACTCTCAGACAGTCGACCCTCCATCTTTAATCCCTCTATCTTGGATTCCTCTTCCTGCTGCAGAGCCTCAAACAACATGGCCTCCAGCTCCAGGATCCTCTGGATCAAAGAAACATTTTTGCGCTGTCATTGTTGTTGCTCAATCATCCAGCTAAGGAAATCCCAAAATGTTGATCCTGTTCATTTGGATGTTTTCAGTGGGAGAAACGTTTTGTCACTCATCCAGGTGCAGGTTTCCCCAACTTTATAAACAGGACATTTGCACAATGACTGAAACGAGCACCACTGAACGAACAACGGGCCGTGAAGTCATTTCCTTGATCATTAATATGCAGATTGTCATGGCCATAGATTGACAACCATTGATCACAGCCCACTGATCAACGGGCCAATGATATCAGAACAGGCTCAAAGACTTGCTCTCAGTTATTTGGTTGACCTCTCCACAGTACAGGTTCAGCTATTCACTGACCTTATGGGCCTGATCCATCGACTGCTTCCTGTAGTCCAGCTCTTCATCCAAGTAACCTTTCTGCTTACTGAACAGCTCCTAGAAAACAACAGCATCTTCACTGACACCACATTTATTTACCCCAGACAACAACTTCCCAACATGGATACTGCTGCTTTACAAACCGCTAAGGCCTTTTAATGTTTTCTGTACAAACAGACTCCGACATATGAAAGAGTTGAAACTAAAAGCTTCCTGTCCAGCTCGCGATCACCACGCTCTTCTTACTGGACCGACTCACCACAGAGCACTTATTCTAGCCTCATAATTCAGATGGATCTAGTGTCATTGACCAGACCACAGATCAGATCACATGATTTCAGCAAGTAGAAAAAAGTCCCAACAGAGACCAGATACACTTTGTCTTTCACCTTCTCACTCTCGATGTCCAACATTTTCTGCTGCAGGGCCGATTTTGTCACTTCAATGGACTCCAGCCACTGAAAGGGGGTAAAGAGAGACAGGTGAGCAGACAGGTAGACAGAGACAGGCTGGTCGTAAAGCAGATATTGATTGTGCACTGCCTGTCCTCCTCATCAATCCAAGTTCATCTTTAAATTTCTGTGTATGTTCAGCTTTATTCACAGAGTTCTCACAAATATGTGTGAACTCTGTTTCTCACCTGAACTCGTTCATCCCAAACAAACAGTTTAGGAGCCTCAGGTGACGCATATGAACAAACGATGAGGACCGGGCTGTGTCACGGGATACTCGAGTATACTGAGTACTACTTTTCAAAGCTTTTATTAACCCACAGATGCTGGAGAATCTGGGAACCTCATCAACACTCAGCATCTTTAAATCTCACCTAAAGACTTGTTTTTAAATGTTTCTGACACTTTTCTGTTTTTCTGTATCTTCCTGCA